GAGAGAAGCAGACCAGGCTGTTCGGAAACAAACAAAATCATTAACAACCATGAACTAGTGAGCAAGCACGATAAAATGGTTTAAATCACTGAAGAAATAATCGATAAGATAAGCTTTAATTAGACTCTTAGATTTGAGAAATTTATTTTTAGAAAATGATATATAAAATGTCAATTGTTCAAGCTTTTGATATAATAGTCAAATTGATATAAACTGCCGAGTGAAATCGACACTTTCATACCAAATACTAAAATTAATTTAAAAATATTAAAGCCTGCATCAATTCTAATTTTTTATGCAATTATATAATATTGTGCAAGTCAGTTTAAATGTACTCTTTGTACGGATATCTGTCGGTTATTATCGATAAAAATTAATTTGCATCAGTTAAGTAGTTTTGATTGCCCTGCTATGCGTGCACATGTCTGCTGGTTTTAAGCCAAACGTGTTGAAGTCTGGAGGGAAGTTTCTTGCTTCACCCTGACTTCCTGGTTCAACAATCCTCCGCCGTTTTGGTCTGTCAGATGCGTTTGTACCGTCAAACCATCCCTGATGACGACAGATAAATCAAAACCTGCGAAAGATGGGTCAACCATGATGATTGGAAACGACCATACTGCAGGATCAAAATCATTTCTTATCGATCGTAAAAGCACCGTAGTTGGAAATGTCAACAATGCTGCTTTTTCACCAGCAGACCTCAAAGAGAAATCTCATAATGTTTATTTTATTATACTTCTAGTTTGTTTATTTATCGAAATGGGTCAAAATAGAAATATCGTGTTAAGGGTCAAAAGATTTCCTTCGGAACAATATTTGATCGTGATTTAATCCTCTCGCTTATCAAGAGTTTTGGTTTGTCTTATATTAATAAAATTACTTCTCGTACAGAAATATTTGTTTGATTTTGAATAATGATTAATTGAATACAGTTAATTGAATATATTTCTGTCATTTCTAATTAACAAAAGGTATCGTCCCGGGCATTTGTGCGCGTAGGGTTTCGCTGAAGATGTGATTAATGTCTGTTTATTCCTTTGGTTTGGCAATAACGCCGCGGGGTCTCGCTATTCCGTGTTTAGACCAGAGTCTGGGCCTCGAAACGGGCCTATAATAACATCATCGAGGCATAAAATCTCCGCACAAGTTGTCATAGTTGGTAGAACAGTTGGTTCATTCGTTTGAATAAATAACAAATATTGATTTGGGGTTAGATAACAGAATCGAAACTTGTCTGTGTTTCAAGTATTATTTGTAAGGTTTCAATGTTGGGTTTTCCCTTATTTAGTGATCTTGTTTATGAATCTTGATGCTATGTTTTTTTAAAATAATTTAACTATAACAAAATTTCAATTACTAGTTAGTTAAGTCATATGTTTCCCAATCGATGCCACTACTCCAAAATACAACTTTATTAAAAAAGTACAATGTACTGATACCAGAAGAATGGGCCAAAGAAACACCGCTAAAGGCAAACTCCTACTGGTACACTGAGACTCCAAAACGGAGCTGGAGCTGCTACAGTTTTCCAGTCTGAGTTCATAGCGATTGAACAATGCGCCAGAGAAATAAAAAGGATTGGAATATATTCCCGGAAGATAGCCTTCTTTTCTGACAGTCAGGCAGCACAAGGCCCCCATGCCTATAGCGAGGTGAAGTCAGTGACATTAAAGACCCCCTGGCATGGGTTCCTGGGCACTCGGGGCATAGAGCAATGAAAAGGATGACATGTTGGCCAAAGAGGGGGCCAACATGGACTCTCTGGGTCCTGAACCCTACTGCGGCTTAACATCCTGCCTCAAAAGAGGATACATCTTAAAATGGACCCTTAATAAGTCCAAATCCTGGTGGAACAATACCACAGGTATGAGGCTCGCGAAGAGATTCATAGGACCATCCGCAATAATTTACAAAAGAATTACTGGAAGGCAACCGCAACCGAACTAGGTTTCAGGTTGGACTTCTGACAGGATATTACCACTTAAGAAAGCACATCCACCGGATAGGAGTACAACCAGAAAAAACACAGGTACTGCCAGGAAGAGGAGACCGCAAAACATATTCTATGTTTCTGTGAAAGTCTATGTAGGTGCAGGTTCTTGTAACTAGGACAAAAAAATACCACAAGCAAGATCCTACACTAAGGAACCGATGGTAAAGCTATGGAGGCTGATTAACAACCTGAAGCTAGCCAGTGAGCTATAAAAACAGGGAGTACAAATCAGGTCGAGGTGCTGAAGGCCTTGTGGCCTCCTCTTTTATTTCCATCCCTGAGTCATAGGTTTGGAACAGTAAATAATGTGACACTTCATACATAAATACTAAAAAACGATACTTTATAAATGTAATAATAAGCAATAAGAACGCGTCAGCCTTTCAGAACCTTCCTAGTCGGTTAGGGCTTTAAACAGAGTGAGGCAATGAACTTTCTTTCTGGCAAAAGCCTAAAAAGTGAATGTCCTGCAGATCTTCGATGTTTGACAGAAGCGCTTTGATTTATGCTTGGATTGATGCTGCCCTAAGACATCGCACCTGCAGTCAGGAATTACGCAGGGTTGGTCAATGTCATAAACGCGACAGATAACACCATGAACGATAGACAGGACAGAATGATCGGAGAAAACCAACATACAGGTTCATCACCCAGCAGATCCCAAGAGGAAATCTCAGGATAAAGTCGTTAAACAAATAATTACGTAAACCAAAAATTTCGGCAAATATATTCGATAGTCATATACAGATATGATAGTATAAATACCAAGACCTTAGACTAAAAGTATAATTAATTTGGGGAGGGGGGCGCGGTAGCCGAGTGGTTAAGGCGTCAGACTCTCGGCTAGTAGATCCCGCGGTGTGGGTTCGATCCCCACCGTCGCCTCTGGACTTGTTCTGACGCCTAATGGGACCGGTGGCCGCAATTGAAAGAAATTGACACGGTACTTATCAATGGAAGGGGCGGGATCGGATCTCAGCGACCCTGAATTTGGTCCCAACCCCCTTCAAAAATGAGTTTCTCAATAAGCTGTACAGCTGCAGTATGCAGTACTCAGGAGGGAACTCCTCTAGTCCCTGGTAACCAAAAAAAAGTCAATTATGACTACTAAATATATAAATAGATTTCTAGATAGAGTTTATTGACGAAATCGAGAAACTTTACATACCCTCTTTTATTATTTTAAAATAAAACGATTGTTTATTCTGAAAACATTTTGTGCTTAAACATCGATTTTTGCCTGTTGTTTGATCTTATCTGGCTATCTTGGTTTGCCCATCCTCGGTGTTTTGGTCTTCGTCAGGGTTATAAACAGGGAGAGAACAAACAGAAAGTTTTAGGCAAAACCCCCTGACAGGCAAATCCAGAGCCTAAGATGCCTGCATGTTGTATCCTATTATCATATAATTACTGAGACACGTTTTGGCCCTTTTAAGGCAATTATAATGTATAAGTCTGGGCAGGGGCTGAGCGAGGTATTTATAGATCGTATTTCTTATGTCGACCGTATCAATTGTATCTCACCTGGTTATCCCGGATCTGGTCCATCTATCATTCGTGTTTTGTTCTGTCGAATGCGTTCGCCTCAGCCGTTTGACAGGGTTGTAAGCAAATGAAACAACACACTGTTAGAGGCTAAACTGGCAGATGAATTCAGCGTGGTTAGGCAGACCTTGGTGAAGCAAATCAAAAACTTTTCCTCTCACATCGCTGCATTGTAGAGTGAAGGAGTGTGAAAAATTTACTAATTGCTGTCTGCACAAGATGTAAACAAGGAACTAAATTTTTCCGTGATGCCTACGGTTTTATGACGTATCTTGGTCTGTCTCACGACGAAGTTTTGCCTGACAGACTCGTATGGCTCAGTGGTTTGCCAGGGATATAAGCAGGGTGAGGCAATACATCTTTCGTACAGAAGATCCTATAGATAACCTAAATACTTCTAACAGACTGAACCGTCCAGGATTTTCCAGCAGTTCTCCTTCTCCATTAGTTGGTTAGGGTTATAAGCAGAATTAGACAGGAGTAAACGTCTTTTCTCCAGAAACAACAGGATTGTAACTTTGTTTTGAAATCAATCGATCGAAATATGGCTGAAATTTGTTTGCTTTGCATCATGTCTTACGTAAGAATTTGTTTTTGGTTTTCCGCTGCTGCTTGGGCTTTCCTTCCGTGGAAAATCGACGATTGCAAACAGACTGCTGTCTCGTGCTACAAGTGGTCGGGTGAATCTCCCTTTTCCTTCTCGAGCCGCAAATAAATCGGCGACGCTATTTTTGGCCCTTGGAATCGGAATAAAGTTGGCAGCCTGGGGAGGCTAATAACGCGTGCATCTCCGCAGAAAACACCGAAGACACGCCCTGAATCGTTTCAGATTCGACTATAGCTTCGACTGAAAGCTGGCCCTCTCGTAAGCATCGATCTCGGCCACCGCCTACGCAGATTTGTCCCCCAATAAACACATCCCGTCAAGAAATTTATCACTGAGCACGAAACCGCACGGACATTTATTAGGCTCCTTGTAGATAGATTCGTTACTTCAAAGCATTTCTATGATTACAAGGGAAATAGTCATATCAGAGCACAATCCAAATTTACACAATTTTCCTTTGTTTTCATACTGTGATCGTTTGACTAATTCACATCATTTGAATAAATAATAAACATGATAAGAGTCACGTTACATCGTCATTTTTTGGGCAAAAAACAATTCTAGCAGAAATTTTAATGATTTGCCGATAACAATATTTTATCTTTTGTAAACGAACGTAAAAAAAGAAAAACAAATTTATATATCCTGTGTACTTATGTGCGAATCAAACACCACAAGGAAAATTAATTAACGATTCAAGATGGTTTTTCGTCTAACACGTCTATATACAAAACATATTATAATTTCAAAGTGTAATTCCTGACCAAAATTTACGGACCAAACGAAGTAAATTTTTGTAATTGTTTAAAGATTTGTTGACGTAAAAACTAGACTGACAGCATTGCCATTTTTCAGGTACAGGTACATTCGGAAGGGTCTGCCTATGCAGGGAGAAAGAATCAGGCGAATACCTCGCTGTCAAGATACTCGCCATCAGCGATGTTATCAGGCTCAAGCAAGTGGAACACGTCAGGAACGAAAAGGAGATCCTTTCTGACATCAAACATCCTTTCATAGTAAACCTGTAAGTATGGAAAATATTGTCTAATTTGAAAATAAACTTATGTTAGGCATGGTCGAACATGGTTAGGACTCTGATTATGAAATGGTACAGGGCATATTGTATTACAAAAGCGAACTAGTTGTTTCTTTCTTCGTAACAAGTGTGTTTTCTTTTCTGTTATGCAATGGAAACGTTCCGTTGTAATTGCTTACTAGTATACAACATACATTTAAGAAAATAAACTGATCTGTTCCAACTGGTTTTATTGAAAACAAAAGACAAGGATTAGCGTTAGGACGTGAATAATAAAAACGGTGTTCCATGCCAAATAAGAATACACGCGGCAGACAAAGCTGTGCGATATTCTGAAAATAAAACAGACTTCCTACAACGCACGTCTTAATTTAATTTTACACAATTACTACTTTTTCGTTAAGAATCAAGAAAACATCAACAGAAAAATTCACCAACTCTTGAGGTGTTTGGCAATAAAATCTGCTCAGATTTGGACATTTAGTCACAAGGACTGTCGACTTGCCAAATTTTTAATTTACCGTTAAACTTTCTTTGTATTCATTAGATTCGTGGTCCGATTGATCGAATAACATCTTTCAATTAATTAATCTTTATGTAAAGTATTGGTTGAGATAAAATAGTCAGTGTCACGAGCGGGATTCGAACCCACGTCCGTCGGCTAAATACGCTGCTGCTCTACCACTTGAGCTATCGTGACTTCCATCTACTCGGACACCAACTTCCCATCTCAACCCACCTTTCAAATTTTCCCTCCTTTTTGCCATTTTTCAAATATCGTGTTATCTATTCGTTTCTACTGCTAACAATTTATTTCCTGATTTTGTTCATGATAACGCATTAAAAGCAAAATTAGGTTCAAAAATTGTTAGTTAAATTTTACTCATTCACTAAATGATTTTCCGATTTTTTGGTGAATTTTCTTGTAAACTATCATAATAAAATAGTTTTTACCAAAACTCTTGAATTTATGGTCTCATTTAATTTGGTTTATATTACAATAAGTATGTTGAAAATATAACAATAAAAATACATATAATTTGGAATAAACAACAAAATACTTTTTTTTAGTCTTTGAGTGTACATATGTTAACAGGGTGTCCTTTTTAGATGGCCCGGTTAAATTGAACCCATGACGCTATTAAAAATACAAAAAATACTTGTCTAATATTTTTTAGTCTGGTTTCAAATTTTTTACTTTTTGTGGAGAAAAATTATACAGGGTACCTCAGGGCCAGTGCAGCGGCAAAATTTCATATACGACACTATACACGCTGACAGTGCTGTCTTAAAGCATCTTTTACCCAAGAAAGCAAAGGTCAAGATAAAAAAGTCTGTCAGGGCGGGATTCGAACCCACGACCTCCGGCTAAATACGCCGCTGTTCTACCACTTGAGCTATCGCAACCAATACCTTACATAAAGATTAATTATTTGAAAGATGTTATTTGGTCAATCGGATCACGAAATCTAATGAATTTAATATGTTAAGAATATTAAGCCTTCACTAAAGCTCTCCGTGGCCATGTCATTTGTCGCCGAGAATGGAATAGATTACACGACATTTGTAAAATTACGAAAAGGAGGGAAAATTCGAAAAGTTGGGTTGAGATGGGAAGTTAGTGTCCGACCGCATGGAACTTGAGAGCTCAAGTGGTGGAGCAGCGGCGTATTTTCCGAAGGTCGTGGGTTCGAATCCCGCTCGTAACACTGACGTTTTGACCTCAACCAATACCTTACATAAAGATTTCTCTGTATTATTTGTGTCATTCTGATGATTATTTCACACGAAGAAGAAAAAAGAAAGTCGGAAAATCATCCTTTTCACGTTAATCAAAACTTCCTTTTCTGATAAACTCGACAAGTAGTGAACCTGCGCGAAATCAACATGCGAATATGAAAGAAATCTCGTTTACTATGCCACTTTCAGCATATATGGGAAGATCTACCTAAAAGCCCAACATTCTCACATTTATATTTATATATAATCTTTCCTTGATCCCTTGTCCAGTATGGAATCGTTACATTGTTCAGTCTTCTCAACCGGTTTTTAATTATTTTGAAACTCACAAAACACGAGACGGACAAATGCCTTTGAATAGATGCCAGTTATTTGTTGAAAATCCTTTTTTCCACTCAATTTATGAACTGTGATCTGTGTTCTTTCAAGCTTTATACGGATCGTGTTTGAATGTCATTTTCCTTTTTAGGAGAGCTCCTAAGATTTGGCTTTTGCGTAACGAAACATTTGCTCTACCAGTTTTACAAGATATAAACAAAATACGACAAAAACTACGACATATACGTTGCTGAAGAAAGGACGTAAACAATAACATGGCCCAAAAGAATTTATTATTGTTTATTTTCTCTATCTTTAGATTCGATACAATTCCAAATCGACCTAGTGAAACACTACCCTTTTAATTAATTTCGATAGTATCACGCGATATTGACCTTGGATTGAAAAAATATCAATGAAAGATCCATCGAAACGATTATTAGAACGCATGTTTGTTTTTGAGATAACTTGGTATCAAATGAACCGACTGCAATTGGTGATAACATTACAAATGGAACAAAACAACTTGGCGACATCCTGTTATGACAAAACTACAGGACGAACTCCAACTCAAGCCTTGGTTTGTGTTAATTTTCTAACTTGACTATCTGCATTTTGTCGGTACTCATATCAACAAATTTTCTTTGAAAATTAAATACAGTCGACCCTTTAGATTTTGAAACCCAAGGGACAACAAAAATAAATCGAATTATCAAGAAGTTCGAATTATCAAGAGGAAAAAAATAAAATTATTAAGAGTTGATATGAGTTCGAAATTATTAAAAAATTTCGTGAAGCGGTTTTGTTTCATTGTGGCCTGTCTAAATGGTTCTTCAAAGAGAACAGTTCTGACAAAACATTGACCGCCGAACATAACAAACTAGAGAAAACAAACTCAAGTCAAGGAAACTTTAGGCTGCAAGGAAGTAAACAGTACTTGGAAATTGAGAAGAATATTACAAAAAAGTACGAATTATACTTAGGATTTTTTCGATTTATCAAAGTGACGTGCTGAGGATTCACATTATCAAGAAATTGTCGAGTTAAGAATTACTAAATGTCCACTGTAAAATAGACTCATATCAATGATATTTATTGATTAATGAAATTGATGAATCATTAATTTATATCAAACTGGAACACCACAGGTTACAAGCTGAAAATCTCCTTCACGTTTCTGTCATTTAGTCGTAGAAATATATATTTTTGCAATCATATCTTTTAGTTTGAATTCGCTCGGGATTCGGACATTGCATACACTATACAACAAATTTGAGTACGGTACGATGGGTACTTATTACGAGTACAACACCCTGTACAAAAACTATACTCAATATTCCTCAATCACCTGCCCAGCTTTTGATGAAGATTTGATGAAGAATTCAATAATGCCATTTCAATACTGGTATTCGTTTATGAATCAATTATGATATTCAATATTCCCCATAGGGTACTCTATACATTTCTATTACCCGATACGCAAACTATACAGTTTGCTAAGGAACTTAATATTCCCCAAATGACCTCTACATACATTCTCAAAGAGGATGGATAAGGTACTCTATATATTTCAATTACCCGATAAGAAAATTATACAGTTTGCTAAGGAACTTAATATTCCCCAAATGACCTCTACGTACATTCTCAAAGAGGATGGATAGGGTACTGTATACATTTCAATTACCCGATACGCAAATTATACAGTTTGCAAGGAACTTAATATTCCACAAATGACCTCTACATACATTCTCAAAGAGGATGAATAGGATACTCTATACATTTCAAATGCCCGATACGCAAATTATACAGTTTGCTAAGGAACTTAATATTCCACAAATGACCTCTACATACATTCTCAAAGAGGATGAATAGGATACTCTATACATTTCAAATACCCGATACGCAAACTATACAGTTTGCTAAGGAACTTAATATGCCACAAATGATCTCTACATACATTCTCAAAGAGGATGGATAGGGTACTCTATACATTTCAATTACCCGATACGCAAACTATGAAGTACACTATATTCTTCAATCACCCTGTCCACCTACTATAAGTGAAGTTTGATAAGGAACTCAATATTCGATCGATGTGGTACTCGATATTCCTCAATCGCCCTATAAATCTAACCTAGCTGACGTTCGATGGAGGTACTCAACCTTCCCCAGTTACAGGAAACCACAGGATACTCACTATTTTCCCCTAATCCTTTACGCATACTGTACAACACATTTAAGATAAACAATTAGAAGTAGTATTATTTAATCATCCTATTATGAAGCGACACAACAAATATAAGTGAATAGGTACTCAGTACGTTCAGTTGTCTTAAGCTCATGTTATCTAACTAAATAAGGGTCAATATGGGTACTCAATATACCTCAATCTAGTAAAAAAAATAATCTTCGGGTCGATGGGGTATTTATACCTGTGTATGCACAACGATACAACTGATCTAAGGGATGTCCTAAAGGTTATTCAATTATTCATCCACCTGTATAGAAACAATACAGAATCTACTGGCGTGTTAATGCTGTACTCAATAAACCACAATTACCGTATATACAAATAATAACGTGTTCTACATTCTAACACCCTTACACGAACAGTACAACAATATAAGAGAGTTGCAGTAGATCGATACATAATATTCATCAATTGTCATATTCACTTAATGTAAGTGGAGTGGACTGGGGTACTATTTCTCAGTCACCCTATACCAAAACTGTTCAATAAATTTAAGTGAGGGTCAAAAGCGTAGGTACTCAATCTACTCAAATTATCCATTACACAAACTATAAGGTATTCAATATTCCTAACTCACCCTTATACGAACTTTTAACAATCTAATTGAGTTGCGGAGGTGCTCAATATTACGTCATCGGCGTGCAGTTTACAATATGGTGATAAATACAATCTCAAGAAT